TAATGCCAGGCTTAGCATTTGCTTACTTGCCTGCAGTGCTAGATTTAGACAAAGGTAAGTAGGCTACAGCTTAGGGCCTCACATTATTAGAAACCTCTGAAAACAAAACAAACAAACTTAACTTTGAGGATTTATATATTGAATTTTCATTTAAAGGCATTTATAATACAAATAGACACTGAAAGATAACTGTTTTTCTTAGATTATTTGCTTTTTGTAGCATTTTTTCCAAGTAAATGATAGCTTTATTTGTATTTTGATTTTCCTTTCTGGCAGATAAATCATCATGACCTCACAGCAAACAATCACCATAAGTTTCTTTGCAAACTTCTGTAGACTTCTGCACAAACATCAGGATGAGTGTCTTAGGCTATTATTTTCCTCAGATGATCTACTCCTCTTTCTTGAGCTAAGATTCTGTGCTGCTTTACTCACTGTAAAAAAAGAAAGAAGAACAGTCATGTTGAAACTTTTCAGGGTAGCAAGCCACTAATTCTATCCATTGTGGTCCCTTTATCCAGTTATCATATCCTATCACAAAACCAGGGTACCAGCAGCAGGAAGGCAGAGTGAGCTAAGCATGACTCCTAAGTACTCCTCCCAGAGTGAGCCAAGCATGTTATCAACACAATATGATAGAAGATTGTCACCGAAAGTCTCTGTCTGCAACAAACTCATGACTGTATCAGGAAGAAGCCAAATCAAAAGATGATAGTAAGCAACCAGTGCCAGTCCTCACTGATCAATGGTGGGTGGGTATGCCTTCGAGTCATTCTTGACTCCTGGCGGCTGCCTGGACTAGTTCCTGCAATTTTCTTGGCAAGATTTCAGAAGTGGTTTGCCATTGCCTCTTTTTTGGGCTGAGAGAAAGTGATTGGCCCAAAGTCACTCAGCTGGCTTTGTGCCTAAGGCTGGACTAGAATTCACAGCCTCCCAGTTTCTAGCCTGATGTCTTAACCACTGCACCAAACTGGCTCTCGATCAATGGGAGGCTCAGTTATGTTAATGTTAATGTTGAATTGTTAATTGTTAATGTTGAATTGAAATGTTAATGTTGAATTGAGTTAATGTTGAATTGACCCCCATCTGGAAAAATCCATTGATTGATTGTTGATTAAGTGCTGTCAAGGTGTTGACTCTTAGATTTTCTCCAGCATGATCTGTCCTCAACCTGGCCATTCAGGTCTCTCAAAGGTACATTAATTGCTGTCGTAATCAAGTCCATCTACCTTGCCATTCTCTTCTCTTTCCTTTCACATTTCCCAGCATTATGGACTTAGTTATTTAACTGATTTATCCTGCCTTTATTTTTTGTCAACTCAAGGCAGCATACATACGTCATGCTCCCACCTCCTATTTTCCCCACAACAACAACCCTGGTTCTAAGTCAGCCAGCTGGCTTTCATGTCTAAGGGATGACTAGAACTCGCAGTCTCCTGGTTTCTAGCCCAGCACCTTAGCCAGTCCACCAAACTGACTTCACTAAACACTACAGCTGACTTTTCAGGAGAGCAAATCTATGTAGTTTTCTTTGCAACAGTACAGAAGAGGTTTATCACCTTCTTCTGGGATGTTTTTCAACTTCACAGTCTAACCTACAAGCCTTATTTGCTGCTGATCTCCCATCCAAATAGTAACCATGTGTGATCCTGCTTAGCTTTTTGAAGTCAGCCAACGCTTGGTAGGTGCTATCTCTTAGGTGGGCGCACAGAAGGGTCTGTGGAGGTGGGAGTCAAAAGAAAACACATGATGAAAGCAGCGGTCCAAGCTCCACTCTTTGGTCCATGGACCATGATGTTGCAAATGTGAAAAGAGTGAAGCTGGCAGTGCAATGGCATGATGCCACTTTCATCATTTTGACCAAAATGTTGGATCCTACAGATGCTTCTGTCAGCTTTTGTTCCACTGAATCGATTTTCCCCCATCCCCCAAATATTAATACTCCTCACGTATCTGCCATGTTTTTGCAGAATCAGGTATTATTCACATCCTAATTATGATTTTATGTGAATGAGATGCATACATTTTTTTAAAATTAAGATCCCTGGAAATAGGTGCAGTAAGCATTCAAGAACATAATCCATTAGGTGCTGAAGTGCACAATGATGAATGGGGTTAAAAACAAATTTGAAGCGTAGGGAATGATAAAAAAGTGCTATAAAATAATATAAATAAAGCATTATATTTATATTATATTATAAAGCAAGTAACACCCGCTCATCCCTTAACACAAACATTCTATGGATGGTTTATTTATTTTATTTATATTTCAAATTTAACATCGCATCTCATTGCAGAGCGACTGTCGGCAATTTACAGTAAAAATGTTCTCATAAAGATGAATAATCTGCAGAAATGCAGACGGTAAATTGAAGTTTTATTTGCTGACTGAATACCGAAATGTTAACTTGTTTTGAAAGGTCAGCTCTACAAACAGAAAAGCCCGCCAAAGAGAAGGGCGAGTACACGTTGCCTCAGTCTTTTCCGGCCACGGTCCAGCATTCCCACACACTAACGCAGCCCTCGCCGAGCCCAGCCGAAAAGCGTATCTTACGGCCCGCCTTTCCGTGCCAGCCCCGCCCTTACGCAGCTCCCTTCTCGGTTAGCTGCTCCGGGTAGAGGGCGTTAACCTGGCTTGGTAGGATGTCACGTGTAGGACTGAACTGGGAAAACAGAAGAAGCTGGAGCGGCGGCGGCCACCTTGAACACCCTGGTGGGAGCAAACGGGATCATGCCGTACGTTCTCGTCAGCACTCAGATCCGCATGGTGAGCGATGTGGGACTGGGGCTGCAGCACGGGAAAAAAAAAAAGATCAATCATGCAGTTATTATTGGAATGTTGAACTGGAATGTTGAACTGCAGCCAGTTGGCCCCGATGCCAAGAAAGGCAGTGTATGTAGGAGAAGATACCCGGAGGGTGCGGGAGTATTTACTTTGCTAAAAGAAGGAATGAAAGAACTAGCAGATCTCTGGAAATATTCGCCTGGCCGAAATATATCGACACCCGTTTCTTTCTTTGGATCGTATGTATGCAGATACGTTTCGACGCATTTTGGTCTGGCCCCCTTTGTGCCTAGTTTAGAGCTAGTGACTTTGGGGGTGATGAAATATCTCAAGTCACTTTGTATAATTTGCATGCACTTCTGTAGTTGGATCTTGGTTTCTTTTCACAGTTGCCATTTGCTTGGTTGTGTAGATACATTAATGCCACTTGTAACAATAGATTCCTGATGATGTTCCTTCTATGTTGGCAGGGTCCACCTGTGAGTATTTCTGGAGCAGTGCCTTTCCCAGTGTGGTGCCTTCTAGCTGTGTAGAGACTACACCTTCCAGAAATGGAAGTGGCTGGGACTTTTGGAAGTGGTGATCCAAAGACATCTGGAGGACACTGCTCTAGAAAGTGTCAGAGTTGCCACTTCTAGTTTGGTTAATCTCTTGAAGGAAAAATGATCAAGAGTTATGGGGCACCTTAAACAGTGTGTGTGTGTGTGTGTTTGGATAAGTTTTTGTGACTCACAGTCCATTTCATGGGATCATGGATCTGACAGTGGAAACAATTACATGATGATACATTTGTTAGATTTGCCATTGTCATATGAACCTATCTATTTTCTAGAAACTAAGAACCTCTGATTGTAGTGGAATTTACTTCTAAGTAAATTTCAGATGTGACTAGCCACGATTATAGAAAACAGCACATTTGATCAATACAGTGTTACATGGAAAAATCTATGTACGTACAAGCTTACAAATGTGCAGAAAACTGATGGTCCTTAATGATTTCTTCTAGCTATTCACAGGTTACCTTGGGGAAAGAGATACAGGGACTGTGCAGTTTCATCCTCCTCCTCTTAAGAGTAAAGTCCTAAGCTAAATAAGCAAAGTCCCTTATCTCAGTGGATGTGTGGTATAGGTCAGTGTTTTTCAAACTTGGCAACTTTAAGATGTGTGAACTTCAGTTCCCAGAATTCCCCAGCCAGCATCCACTGGCATAGATCATGTGTAGACGTACTTCAGGGATCCTGGAGAGTCTTCCAAATCTATGCAGAGAAATTGAGCAGCAAACTGATTTCCTATGGATTTTCAGCAACCAAGCAACTAATGAGGGGAGAAAGTGAAATGGATGCATTAAACTTCCAGTTTCTCCCTGTATGACACTCTCCCCCTCTCCTGGCTGAACGTTGAGCCTTTACATCCACTGCAGCGGTCAGCTACTGAAAATAATAAATTTAAAAGAAGATGCTGCCCCCAATTGCAAATAGTCCTTCCCCTATTATAGAGGGATCTGTGCCAGTCCTCTGTGGTGATTAGAAAAGAACAAAAGCCAGAAAGAAACCAGAAATTAGTTCAAAAAGATCAGTTGAAAACTTCCCATGCTGTCTCATGTTCAGCCTGTTGGGGGAGCTGTAACAAAGTTTAATGATATGTGCCTGTGTAGAATCTAAGGAGGTGAAAGTGAATACAGTATTGTTGCCTACTTTTTGCCAATGATTTTGATTTAATTTTATGTAAATAAGAAACATTCCTTGTGTCCTAAGAGTGAACTCTTGTGGCTAGGAAATTAAAACAAGTCTAAAAAAATTAAGTATCAAATAAAAAAAATCTGCAAGTGAGCTTAACATAATTAGCAATCAACCAGTAAAGACATTACAGATAGTGTTGGGGTGAGGGAGGGGAGGTGCTTTTTTTCTGGTTTTTTAAGGGATGGCAATGGGAGCAGAAGGCCTGTGGGAGATAGATTGCTCCCACTAACATCTGTAAGGCCTCTCAAAGAAAGACTCTCAGCCCAAAGTGCTGGGCAGCGTATAATGGATTTAAGTTGCAGGAAGGAAAATCCCAACTGAGTGTTTTAAAAAAGCTTCCTAAAAATGAAAGTAATTTAACTGTGAATCAGTTCCCCTGAGTGGATGGGCTTTCTTCTGCTAGATGTGCAGGTAGGTCCTCTTGTGGATAAACAACTGGCTAAAGAATAGAAAACAAACAGTAGGAGTAAATGGGCATTTCTCACAATGGAGGGATGTAATTAGTGAGGTCCCCAGGGTTTTGTCCTAGGACTGGTACTTTTTAATATATTTATAAATGATTTGGAATTGGGTGTGACTAGAGGAATAGACAAGTTTGTGGATGAAACTAAATTGTTCAGAGTGGTAAAAACAAGAGACTCAAAAGGGATCTCTGCACATTAGGTAGTGGGTGTTAAAATGGCAGATGTCATTCAACATGAGGAAGTGTAAAGTGATGCACGTTGGTGCCAAAAATCCTAACTACCACTACAAAAATCCTAACTACTGATAGAGCTAGCAGTGGCTGATGAGGAATGAGATCTTGGAGTAATGGTAAACAGTTTAATGAAGGTGTTGACATAGTATGTATCCACTGTAAAAAAAGTCCAAGAGCATGTTAGGGATAATAAGCAGTACAGTTAGTCCTTGCTTAAAGACCCTAATTGGGACTAACATTTCCGTTGCTAAGCAGAGCACTCATTAGGCAAAACATCACATGACTGCACTGCTTAGTGATGGCAGTTCTGGTAGTCATGGTTGTGGTAATTAGGTGAGGACCGAGCTATCATTAGGCGAGGATTGAGCCGTCATTAGGCGAGGACCTCATGCTTCTCCTGCCCTGCCGTACTTACCTCTGCTTCATTTCTCCCCACCCGCCTATCTTCCCCCATCTCTGCTCTTTTGGCTGCCCTGCCCTGCACTCCACCACCACTGCCTACCCATGCCACCCCCTCCCCCTCCAGCTGACCTTCGCCATCTCCTTCCTCCCACTGTTGGCGAGATGCACCCAGCCAAGGCATCTGCTGGCCCTTCTCAAGGCCTTCATGAGGCCTCTGTGAGGCTGTGTGAAGGCCTAGGGAGACTTCAGGGAGGCCTTGCAGAGCCTCACAAAGGGCCAGCAATTACCTTGGCCAGGCACGCTTTGTCAGCAGCGGGAGGAAGAAGATGGTGAACACCAGCTGGCGGCAGCAGGGGTAGGCAGTGGCAGAGTGCAGGGCGGCCAAAAGGGCAGAGATGTAGGGGAGATAGGCAGGTGGAGGGAGCTGAAGTGCACATTGCAGTTGTAAATGCAGGCGGGCTACCAAGCGCCTGAATTTTAATCACATGACTGTGGGGGCACTGCAGTGGCCATAACTTCGAGGACCAGTCATAACTACCATTTGTTCAGTGTTGTCATAACTTTGAACAATTGTGGAACAAATGGTGGTTAAGTGAGGATTGCCTGTATTGAAAATAGAGATACCAGTATCATGATGCCCTTATATAAAACAATGATGTGACCACAACAGGAATATGGTTTGCAGTTCTGGTCACTGCACCTCAGAAAGTGTATAGTGGAGCTAAAGAGGGTTCAGAAGAGAGTAACTAAGGTGATCATAGACTTTTTCTTTATGAGGAAAATTTGCAACATTTGGAGCTTTTTATGTCAGAAAGGTTGCAAAAAACATGATTGAGGTGTACCAAATTATGCGTGGTGTGAATAAAGTGAACAAAGTGAAGCTATTTTCCCCTCCCCAAAATACTAGAACCAGAAGTCACCCAATGAAATCAAATCCTGGACAGACAAAAGGAGATTTATACAATGTGTAACTTAACTTCGGAATTCGCTACCATGAGGCGTGTTACTGGCTACCAACTTGGCAGGCTTCAAAAAAGGGTTGGACCAATTCATGGAAGTCATAGGGATCCATGGCTCTTAGCCTGGATGGCAGTGGGACTGTCTCTGAAGGCCATCTGCTGGGAGAGTTGTGGGCTTCCTTGTGCAGTTAATTGGCTCCTGTGAAAACAGACTGCTGAACTAGATGGGCCAGGGGTCCAATCCAGGAGGGCATTGCTGATGTTCTTATGTTCAAGCAATTGTTGGACTTCCATTTGTCAGGAATATATTAAGTTAGGTTCTGCACAATGCAGGGGGATGGTCTTAATAGCCTAAATAGCTTCTTATGGCTCTATAATTCTGTGAAAAAGTGGCCTGAAATTGTATCATGAAAATTTGGAAGCAAGTTAATTGATTTTTAGGGGCATGATTTTAGGACATTTTGGTATATTCATTCATTCATTCATTCATTCATTCATTCATTCATTCATTCATTCATTCATTGATTGTATTTATATAGCTGCCCATCTCACACACACTGAAGCAATGAGCATGAAACTGAGCAAACACAGGGAGGCAGTGA